GACTCGCTCCAACCGGTCTATATCCTTCTGATGTTGAGGGCTCCCCAGCTGGACGCAGCACTCCAGGTGGGGTCTCAACCAGAGCAGAGTACAGGGGCAGAATCCCCTCCCTCGCCCTGCTGGCCACAACCCTTCACACCCCTTTCCAATAGATTTTTGACTAGAAGTAGGCACAAACAGCAATAGCTCTATCTTTTTTGAGACTCTAAACTCCACAAATGGTTTTGGTTGCACGATGTATCACAATGTTACTGATATATTTTATTTATGTATATATTTACTGACTGTTACTTTTTTCATTGTGTTGGCCAGCACTTGATTAAGAGTTCCACAATGATAAAGACCTTTTCTTCAGATCACATGGCTGATCTCAGTGCTGATACTCTTCTCTTTTGGCATGTTCAGAGCACACTTTAGAATGTCAGTGGTAGTTCTGCATATGTATGGAGAGAAGGCCATAGGAGATGACATTTGCCATGTGGCCTTGAGATGAAAATTTTGCCCTAAGATAGTTCCTTTAGTATGATTTCTTCTTTTTTTTTTTTTAACCACCAGAGCAGTCACTTTTGTTTTAACAGAAAACAAACCTCTAAGACACTGTTAAAGAGTATCACTAGCCAAGAGATTGTTTGATATGTTCTAATAGGGTCAAGCAAACACTGGCTGAGCAAAAAATTGGTGGTAGTAGTACTATTCTATAGATAGTATTCTATACTAAAGAATCTATAGAATAGAATACTATCTATAGATAGTATTCTATTCTAAAGACCCTCGATACTTTTAATTTCTGATCTAGGCTTCTATTACACCACACCCAGTTAAACATACCAATCCTAGATAGACTCCAAATTATGACACTCCACATGTGCAGCCATTTGTGCAAATGACATTATTTAACTCTGTGATAATGGATTGATTACTGTTGACTGGAAGTGTTATTAATCTCCAGAAATTCTGAGGAAGAGATAATAGCAACCTATAACTATGCAGCTTAGCAAAATAACATTTACATATAAAATGACAGATATAATGCATATATAATGTATATATAATGACAGAACTTATTGTTTCTATTTCTTTGCTACTACTATTTTTGAAGAATAAACTAGCTTGAAAAGCAATCTTAGCTTTCCTATTTTCGTGTTCATACAAGAATGAACTGAGTGATTGACTGTGTAAAATTAGTTTCAAGAACAAAATCTCTAACGAAACATTTTGTTCTGTTTTTTGTTTGTTTTTCCTTGCTATTAGCTTGGTAGCCACAAAGGAAACAGACAGTGCAAGATCTCGTAGCATGCCAATGTCGCCATCTGATTTCCTGGATAAGCTAATGGGTAGGATGTCAGGCTACGATGCAAGGATCAGACCAAATTTCAAAGGTAATTTCAAACCTAAACTTTCAGGATTTCATTACTTTTTCACACACAAATGCTGTTAATGGAACAAATAAGAAAACGAAGAAAAACACTTACTGGAAAAAAAAAAATGCTTTCTTTTGCCTTTCTTTGCTATAACAGTTCCTTTCAGTAGCAATATAATCTGTTCCTGTCACTTTCACAGCTGCCCAAATGCACAACTTTTGAAAATTTAGTTCCTCACTAGATCTGAACCGTCTAATAGGGTTTGTTAGTTTTTTTTTTTTTCTAAAATGCATATTAATAGATTCGAGTTCCCATCTTGACTACTATAACCTGAAGCATTCCAGAAAGCAAGTTCTGTGAAAGAAAGGCCTAATCCTCATACCTGCCTGATCCTAACTAAAAGGAAGAGTGTGTTAATGATATAACCATCAGAGGCAAACTTATCTTAGTTACCAAATGTATCACCAAATTAGACTCCTCATTCCTGTGTCCCACTTGTGCTTTGAAATGGCCAAAGGGGCCATCTTTTCTCTTGTTGCTTGCCCTCTTCTCAGTTCTCTACTGAAACTGCAGGTTCTCAATACCTGGAATTTTTCTTGGTGTGTGCTTTTTATGCACTTGTCTCAAAGAAGATTCAAACAAGACAAAGGAGATTCAAAGAAGATTGGAAGTCCAAACTTTGTAAATGATATGGTTACATCTTCCGAGGGTCTTAGTGCAAACCGTGTTACCCAGACTCAGACATGCTAAAGTACATTATTGAATGGAGGATTATTTAACCCATTCTAACTTTTGCAGTCTGAGGAGTTTAGGTGAATTTGACTATTTTCTTTTAGTATGAGAACAGTTCCCACAATATAATGAAACTATATTTAACTCTATTTCTGAAGCTTTAAATCAAGTAATCAATCTTCAAATTCTCCAGAATATGAATATATTTTAAAAGAATAAACATGTTGATATTAAAAACTATTATTTCTACTTTGCCTTAGCTGCCTCCTCCTATGCCTATCTTCTTGAGTCCAAGAGATCCCCTACGCTCTAACACTTCACTATAAGGAAGGTTTTACTCTATGTTTATTAAAAGAATTTTCCTTCAGGCAGACAGGCCTTCCTCTTCTAAGATATCTGTCACTACCATTCCAGCTTAATTCTTATTCAGAACTAAATTTTATCATTATTTAACATCTCCAAGACCCAGAAACTTAAGTGATTATGACTTTAAAGCCATTGCTATTTACTGGTTTGGCCAAAATTTTCTCAGACTGATCCATAAGGACTAAGTAAATAGTTTGTCAAATTACTTCGTCACCAGGAAGACGTATACAGTTGGTGTTCTACATATAAACTTAGTACTCAGGATTTACAGCAGCTGGAAATGCACTACTTTTAATAAGTTCGTGATGCTGATTTTTCTCAGAAAATTATAAACATGCACTGGCAATTCAAACACATCACTGAAAGATTCACAACAGTGATCAATATCCCTGATGACCACACAGAATAAGTCCCTTGGCACAGTGATCAATATCCCTGATGACCAGAATAAGTCCCTTGGACTTTCCTTGCCAGAACTGCTTTGAGGAATGTTCTAGTGCCTGGTGTCCCGGAGGCTTAACATATCAAACAATATTTGCAGAGTAATGCAAAACACTGTATTTCTAAAATTACTTTCTTTTATGGATTATAGCCCTTAAATTATTTTTCTTCCTTATTAAAATTACCTTGCCTTGTTACCACATATAATCCAACTTGCAAACTGCAGGTTCAACCTAAGGTAAAGCTGTGCTGGGCAAAAGAAGACCTCAGGCAAAGTCTAAGTACTGCAGTTTTTCTTTTCCCCTAGTGTCTTGAAGTCCTACAAATAAGTGTTTAAAAATGAGCATTTTACATCTTAGTAGTTGATCTAGCAATTGCATTTTGGAGTTTGTGATGGACACCATGCAATCACAGTCTTCTGATGGGGCTACAGTGAAGAACAGGCAGATGGTGTAGAGATTAGCAAATTCAATACAGTACTTCTTGAAAGTATAATTCAAAAGACTTAGAGCCTTGTTTCGTAACTGCTGAAATTTAAAGAGACAAAACCTAATTTGACATTGTTCTTTTCAAAAAGTGCACATTCTAAATCTTCTAGACAGATATACAGTTTGAACAAATCTGCCCAGAATGATTCAGATCTATCACTAAGAATAAGTATCTCCTTAAGTGACTTTGCCACTTTCTTACTCCTAGAACAAGTGCTAAGGCTTAATGCCTTTTTGAGTTTTTATACTGGCAACAGCTTTAAAGAAGCAGAATGAGTACTAATAAGCTAACTCAGACAACAATTTTAAATATTTTTTTCCAATATAATTCTTACATAGACAAATGTTTAACTACCATCTCTTAATCATAATTAATCTTGGTAAATGACATAATTTTTATATTTTGTATATGAGTGCTCTGCTTTCAGATAAGGAATTCTGCATATCTGTCCTTGTTCAACAGAAATAATAGAGAAGACTTTTGTTACTAATTTAGCTATGGATTAAAACAGAAAACTAAGAATCCTTTTAAAATCTTTGTTCGAGTTGCAAAATATTCCTATTTCCAGTACATCAAGCCTATAGCAAGCTACATCTCTTACTCGGTTGTTCCACATCCCAGACTATATCTGTCCCTGCAAATATGGGAAATACATCACTGTCTTTCAAATTTGGACATAATTATGTAATCCATGTGTAAAAATTCTCATGGCCTCAAGACAGTTAGAATTAACCTGGTACAAAAGAGGGGTTATATTTCTGAATTTATACAGCCCAGAGTGCACCACAGATAACAATCTATTAAGGTGGAAATTTGAGGACTTACATAGGGAAGTGTAAAGCGTTCCTTGCCGTGGTATTGCGAAACAGTTTTCAGCAATCTTTAGTTTAGGAACTTCTTAAGCCAGGACTTAACTGAAAAAAATAATTTAGATAAATATGATTGCTTCTGAAAGTGCTTTATACTTTGGGACTTTCCAATAATTTATGGCATTAAAATCATCATGTTTTGGAATAGTGAAAACTATCGTGTTTCATTTGCTTTGGATTTGGTGACTCTTTTACTGATTTTATTGCCATGTGACATATTGAGAAATGGAGCAAAAGGATTACTTCCTTTTGATCTTTACAGATTTCTATACTTCCATATCGCTCCCTACCGTAAGCTTTTCCAATGTGAAGAGCACTGTTCTACTTAAGCTGGTTTTGTGTGGCAGCCTTTCATAGAATCTGTGATCCTGGTTTGACTTCTTGACATCTCTTTTCTCCCTATTACATCCTTTTGAGGCAGACAGAGGACAAATTTTGAAGTATTCAAGACAGAAGTTCATGATCTATGGTAGTCCTTTTTTTTTAATATATGTCTTTGCATCTCCTATCTTTATTGATTAGAGAGCATGCTTACAGACAACTACCCATAGTTAATCTAGCCTCTCTTTCCTGAATTGAAATCATAAATGTGACGCCCATCAGTGAGATTATTTGGCACTTGACTGACACTGAATTTCATCAAATATTTTATTGCTTGATAACCTAGTATTTTGTGATTTTTCTTCTTGCAGTCAGCATTACGTACATCTACCCTAAATCACCTTATGCCAGAAGCAATATTATATTGCTATATCCTCTTTTCTAGGTCATTAATATTGGAATACAAAGATTTAGTGCAGATCCATGGGGAACTCACCAGCAGTCACCTCACACTTTGAAAAATGGCTCTTTATTCCTAACGTTAAATAAATTTAAAACAAAAGGTCTATAAAGTGCTATATCTCACTTCATCAAGACTAATATCCTCAAAAGACTTGGACAAAAGATCACATTGAAAAGTTTTTGAAACTCCAAATAAAGTGTTGTAGTTAATTTAATTATATATAACAATAAAAATTAATATTTAAGTTAATTATATTGGTTTTTCTACATGCTCATCTCTCAGAGAGCTTCAGTAGATCTGAGACCTGTCCTTTCAGGAAAAGTAATATTAATCCATATCTATTAATCATAGGAGTTCTCATCATTTCTGCCAGTTCGGGTGGTACAGAGGTAAGGTTTACAGGGATAAAGTTCATTGTCAGAGTCATCCACCATCATACCTGAAGTCTGTTTTTCTTTTTTAATTCAAGTTACCCTTGCTGGCCATGGTACACATTTCCACTGATAACAAAGCTGACACAGCTGGTAGCTGACGCACAATGATTCATATTTCCACAATTTTGCAAAGACTTTTATAATGTTTGGCTTCATATCACCTCAGCCTGTCAGATTGCTCCTTTTCACTTAGTCTGAATTGTCTTCTACAGTCCTCATACAAATCTTCCATCAGAATGGCTCCAGTAGTTGACACATCTAGCAATTGGGGACAAATGCTTCTACAAAGACCTCATTTAGTTCTTCTGCTCTGACCTTCTTCACTTTCATGGATACTTTTATATCTTGTCTTCTCTAGACTTCACCTTCCAGATCTTGACAGGATTCTATTTTTAATGCCTTGCAGATAGTTAGCATCGTTAGCTTTTCTGTCTCTAGTGAGTTTCACCTCTAATTTTTTTTTCTCCTTGTCTATAATCTATGTTCAACTTGCCTGAGTTCCTGTGTTTATGTCTTCCACTTTTAACAGTTTCATTTATGCTTCTTTTTGACCATGTTTTGGGAAGTTCATTTTTCTCCTTGAGAGTTTTTAGTGAATCTGCCTTTACTCATCTCCCCTGCTTTTTCTTTTTCTCTTGATCCTTTTCAGCAATTGTCAGTGTCAAGCATTAACTGAATTCCTGGAAGTATTGGATATGCTCAACAGCTCTAAATAATTAACCAAGCATCAAAATGAAAATAGTGTCCAAGTGATGCAGAGTGATACCTCCATACCTGAGAATTCTGCTCCATAGGTGTAGTCTTGTGTATTATAACGACTGAAGTGCATCCAGTGATTTCTCATTGCAATTTCATTACAGTACTTCAAAACAATAATTTCTTAGTGGGTGCTTACACCTGCAAAAAGAAACCAGATTCTCCAGTACTAAACTGGATTACTGATATAAGAATATCAAGGTGCAGGGGGGTGCCAGAAAAACCCTGTGATGGAAAAACTTTGTTTTGGCTGTACACAGACTGAAATTGATAAGAAATAATGGAGAAATTAGCATGCTCTACCACAATGCCATTTTTACAGAGATTTTCAGAGGAATAATTTCAAACCTTTTCCATGAAGAGACAATTCATTGTTCAGTCATCATAATGACTGTTCTGCCGCTACTGATTCTTCACAAATGCACGATAAAACAGAACAACAGTTGAGTGAAGACCCATGGTAACAGAAGATTCAGCTTAAATGGATTCTTAACAATTCTGTAGGTTTAAAAAAAATTACAATACAATCTAAGTCATTCTTTCTTATCCACATTTGTTCCTGTAAGCAGTAGAGATAAGAGCAGCAATAATATCTTTCTGTTGCCAGTAATGAAAGATAACATAAAAGGTAGCAGCCTTTAGTGAAAAAAGTCACTTCTTCCCCTAATTGTTGTAAGAAGTAACATATATTGCTCATTGAAATGCAAATAAAAATATTTTATACCATATATTTCAAATGGGATGTTGATTTGAGAATCATCAGTGCAAGTTTGAAATTAACTTTCTCTCTTTTTTATTGCTAGAACTGGCCAGCCAGGTAGTATACCTTTGAGAAATATCAGAAGAAAATTATTAGAAACCATTCAATTTAATCTTTTATTAAATGAGTTGTGAACATGGCATTATTTCCTCCTAAATCAATAAACATTGTTTCATAATGGTTTATTTTTTACAGTCTCTCAAAAAGAGATTATTCTGGAAAAAGGACTGGTGTGTTCTTTCTCTTGCAGGCCCTCCAGTTAATGTCACATGCAACATATTTATAAACAGCTTTGGATCCATTGCAGAGACAACCATGGTAAGATATTTTACCTCAAACAACGTTTAAAGTTCAAGCTGAATATGTTCAATGAACTCAAAAGCTAGCTAGGGCTTTTCTTCCGCTGGAACTAAATAAAGAGAGAAATCCACTTCTGAGAACAGAAAGTGAGAACATTTAATTTGGCAATTGATTTTTTCTAACAGAAAATCCATCATGATACCATCAAACACAAATAAAATAAAGCAAAGGATTGTGTTTTTTTTTTAATTTATTTGTCTGTAAGTTTTATTTGACAGTTGCAATGAACTTATTATTTTCAATTAAATAGTTTCTATAGAGTTCCACCTTTTTAACCCCAAAAATGTCAATTCATCAAGTTGCTTGTGTATCTTCTACTTTATATATATAATATCTTTTCATATATAATAGCTAACATATAATTATAAATATATCATATGTAATGTTCATTATATATTTTAGTATTTTATAATTTCACTGTATACAGTGCATATGTGAATCTATACTTTATTTAAAATATCCTTCTTCCATAGAGCTATTACACAGAGATAATACAATAACTAAAATACTGATGTGCTATATAAGATTCCATTATCAATTCTAAGAGTGGGGTAAATATTAGTGGACTGCACACTTTTTGTACATACACTTATAATTTCTCTATTAAAGAAAGGCAGAGGAAAGACTACAAAAAGACTGGAGATTTTAAGGAAATGGAGGTCAAAAGAAATAAGGAAGGAAAAAAGAGAAATCAAAGTCTAAATATAGTAAAACTAGATATTGAACCGTTAACCAACAAAAATAATGTGGATAATTTTATTTAACTGGTGAAACGTATATGCTAATAACTTGGAGTACACATTTATTCATTAAAATTTGGTGAGAGAGAAGACAGGCACTCTTTCTGCACCCAAGTGCCTCACATATTTTAAAGAAGGCAGTTAAATACCTTTGGAAACAGTTACATAGTAATTTGGGGACAGAGAGGGTTAAAATATAGAGAGTTGAAGAACTGTGCAAGTTTTTAAGATCAAGTAAATACTCTGAAATCCCAGCAGTTTCAGGGGTCAGGATATGTACTTGGAATGACAGAACATAAATGAAAGGTAATAGGTAGAGAAAAAAAAAAAAGTATATATATATAAAGGAATAATACTGAGCAAAAGCCATCCTTCTGAATTACCCCTAAGAGCAAAAATGAGACTTGTGAATGTAACCAAGAACCGGTAGTTAGGAAATCAAGAATATAAATTTTTAAAGTCAAATATTTATGCCACCTATCCCCAAAGTGACATTCACAGCTGCCTGATCTTTACTCGCTTTCAAACACAGTGGTAGATGTTACTGAGAGAGGCAGATGATTTTTTCCAGGTAGAAAATTACTTTAATTTGTATTTGGGTGCCTTGCCAGATTGCAAATCCCAAACAGATTGACATGGCATCCAAGGAGATTTATTCTGGTTCAATCAGAGGATTAAGCAATGCCCACATGATTAGAATAGTGCTCCACAACTACATTTTAATGGCCGTGTGGGTGAATCTGCTGCAAAGCAGGAGGCAGACCACAGGGTCAGTAAAGTGCAAAGATCCAGCAATTAGATCACTCTAAAAAGGGTGTTTGGAATACTGAAGTTGCTACCACTTAAATAAATTGTGCTGAATTTGGGAAGAGGGTGCCTGAGTTCGCATCTCAAGTGCATTTTCTCTCCAAAAAGTTAGAATTATACCAATTTCCTTTCAGTACAGCTTAGTAAGTTAGTACAATACTTCTATTTTATAATGAAATTACATTCTGTCTGTGTTGCCTTGAAAGCCAGTTAAAACAGTTGAGACAGACTACAACCTGTTCCAGGTAGTATGTTACAGAAAATACCAAACCTGGTCAGAAACACAGGGTTGTTCATCCTATCAGTTATACACATTCAGAAACTGGACAATTAAGCACAGCCTTGCACTTAGGTCAAATGCTGCCTTCAGGATGCTGTTATCCTGTTTATAATGTGTTCACTGATACTGTTCAAAACAGGCCCTTGCTTCCGGTCAGCAGCTGTTGACCTCTCAGAGGCTCAAATCTACCTTTGCAGAAGAAAAATAAATACTGATACCGTAGTCCTTAACATTCATGTACCTATGTCTTAATATTTATTAATGTTTATTAATCGTTATGCATATGATGACTTATTAGAACAACTTATTAGACTCAAAAAGGACTTTTATATTCCTGATACTTCTTTTTTCCAAACTGTAAATGAAGGAGCTTATGTAAGCAACACGTGCAGAACAAAACCTGGCCATTAAGTGGTACCTTGTAGTTTTGCAGGTATTTAAAGCTGCCAGGGGAGTAATGGGAGATGCATATAATCTGTTAGCTTCAGAGAAACCCGAGCAGATGAAGCTCCGTGCACTCTTGGCTGTCATTGTAACTGCTCTTGGCACTGCCAACCTCCCTCCCTGTGTCTCTGGTTCCCCAGTTCTCTACGGATGACCAAGATCTTTGAGCTCCCCCTGCTGCCTCAGTTAGGTATAACACAGTAAACAGAAAAAAAACCCACGGAGTAAAAAAAACCCCAAGGTCGGCAGCGAACTAGCCCGGTGCCAGGGTTAAACTACCGGCCTTCGCAGATCTGAGTGAGGAAGAGGAGTCTGTCAGTGTGCGATGGGAGCTTACAGTGTGCAGCGGGAATCCGTCTTCACGCGGGCGCATCCGCGCTGCTTTGTGCTTTTACAGTGCCGTCTCACTGATTTGGAGAAATGCCAAACCAAATAAAAGCAGCTTAATTTAGTTTACAGCTTATTAATTCTGCAAATTGGTTCTTTCTTTCATTTTTCTTGGATTTTTTCCTTGGTTGGTTGGTTGGTTTTTTAACTTTATTTCAACTTCTTTAGAGTATGGGTTACAGTTATTTCATATCCCTTTTTTTTGTCTCAAAAGACAAATCGGATGGTTCACAGTGCAGAACAGGCATGGCTAGAAAGCTGTCATTCTAGTTGAACCCAGGTTAATCCAAGTGATCATATGAGGAACTTAATTTATGTCATGCATCCTCTGAGGAGGCAGAAAAAATCCTGTAAATCACATAACTTAAAATTCCCTAAAGCAAAATTCCATCATTGGCACCACTTAGGGTCCAGCTTTGCCAATCTTTCTGTGGTTTTGAGCCGAATAGTAGTACCAGATCTGTGCATGTCTCAATGATATTCACACGCATCCTCTAGCCAAGTAAAACTCCTATTGCTTCACCCATCTAAAGGAAAACCTAGGTCCAGTCTTTCATTTTGCACATGATGCTGCTATTCTTTTTTTTTACATGAAGATATAGGAACCTTAAAGAATAAAGATTTTTAAAAAAATGTGGTAGCCCAGAATAAAATTACTATTTCATTATATGACATTAACATAGATAATTAATATGAATTAACATCAGAAGCTTTTTATTTAAGGTAAGTAGTGACACATCTAAGCGCACTTAACCTTAAAAATCTGATTGCTTGATCATGTAAAGTTAAATGTATATTGGAAATATAGGAACTATATCCTACAGGAAACCACATCCTCCTTTTTTATTGATGCAGTGGAACTTAAATTTCAGGTTTTATCACAACATCCTCGGAAGTTCCTTACGGAGTTTCTCTTTGTAACCCAAGCTGTGCTCAACTTGTATTTGCACTGTATCTCCCAATGCTAAGAGATTTCCTCATTGTTAAGAGCAGTGTCATATATATTGTTGACAGTTACCATAAAAAAAAAGTTTATTCGGTCTTACAGTGCGAGAATAACATCACTGACAACATTTTCAGCTTACAAATGTTCAGAGACAAAATACTGAATGCATGAAGCAAAGGCTACAGAATATTTAGGTTATGGGGCAGATAGTAGGCCATACTAAAAGCCTCCTTTTATTCAAGTAAATATGACTGACCAACCTCCTCAAGGTTTTCCGAGTTTTAAAGGTCAGGAACAACACTGTCATCTTAATGCAGATTTACAGCAATATTTAATAAGTATGTATTAATATGCTTAGCATAATACATATGCTGAAAGTGCGTTGAAAGGGACTCTCACTGAGAGACCTAATGGCAAATGACAACAGTGCAGACGATTAACACATTTAAAGCATGTCTGTTATTTGTTCCTGCCACGTTTTTGCTGATGGGTATTTCTTGACTTTGCCTGAAGAGAACTGTTATCCTGAATGTTGTTAGGAAGCAGGTGAAAGATCTGTTCTCCCAGCACTAGGGAGATTATCTTACATTCACAAATAAAATGTGCTTTAAATCTACATTAACCCATTCTTAAGCCATCATAATTACACTCCTTTCATGAGTCACAGCTCTAATTTATTAGCTTCATCTTTCTTCAAGTGAGTATTTCTGTTCCTGTTCCATTCTATGTATTCTGGGTCGTCTTTAAACCAAGTACTTGGAAGGAGCATTCATCTTTTCTACATTACAAAGCTTAATGCTGGAGAGTTTCACCAAATTTTTCCTAAATTAATAATGTGGTTGATTGTCTCAAATACAAGGAAATATATGCCTTCCTTTGGTGCAAATATGCTGAAAAATTCTGTGTAACTGTTTTAGCAATATGTTGATACTCATGGTGAAAATACCCTGAAAAATTCTGTGTGATTTTTATAGAAAGGTGTTAATACTGAAGTGATGGGCAGAAATATCTGCATTGCACAAAGTTTATCTCAGACGAGTGAACATGCAATAAAGGCCACTTTACCATTTCAAAATTACAAAAAAAAATCACTTTTTTTCACTATTTGACAATTAATTCCCTTCTATCAAGAGACAGAAAAGTCAACATATTGATCTTGTAGGCATTTGAAAGGGTGATTATTTAATATCCTTTATTTTATCATAAACTTGCCTCTGCCACCCTGAGCATGGGTCACAGAGTCAGAAGTAGACATAGGTTTTTTCAAATTCTAGCAGGTCTGCAGCTGTCCAGTTTGTTACATGACCAGATTAATCCATGCAAATCCCCCTTGAACCTGCATTCTAAGCAGACA